CAGAGAGAGAGAGAGAGAGAGAGAGAGAGAGAGAGAGAGAGAGCTTGTGTCTCTGTGTGACATGTGAGTGTCTGTGCGTCCGTAGGCGCATGAGAGAAGGTAACAGGCAGCAGTTTATAAACGGTGTCTCTCTATTCTTCACATTGCATTGATGTATTTCTTTTTTCGCCCATATATCACCACTTAATTTTCTATGAAAACGAACCCTTTCATGGATCCTGGAGAGGAGGGAAGAGCAGCTATGGCATTGTGCCGCCCGCTAGGCCTCTAGGCCGCCTGCAATGACGCCTATTCTCAAACTAAGTAAGTAGAAGTAGAAGTTTAAAAAAAAAAAGTAAAAAAGGTCCCGTGGGTGAGTGCTTACCTTCCAGCACATGAACGTCCCGGCCCTCCCTGAGTAGCGAGGAGAGCACGGTGCACAGGGCGTTCTCCTGGTTCTGTGAGGCCACCCCGGGCTCGGCCAGGTCGCGCAGACACGAGTGGTCATCGTACACCACCACGTCCATACCTCCACGCGATGATGACGACTGTGGCGATGACGAAGCCTTTCTCTTGGACGCAGGCGACGACGACGTGACCACAGTCGATGAGGAGGACGTGAGGTCTTTTAGTCCCAGGATGTCAAAGACAGAGCTTTTCCCTGTCTGAATCCGGCGTCGGTTGAAGCGGTCCGTGCAGCAGAGGTTGACAGCACCCTGGATGTGGTTACGGTGGTAGGAATTTGAGCTACGGACGTCTATGAGAAACATTGGGCGTGTTTTGCCCATGCTGAAAGCGAGTTCGTCTGCCGTGATGGACCGTAACTTAGCTCTCTGTGAGTTGTTGGCTGTGGGGGAGGCGGACGGTGAGGAGGAGCAGCCTGTGAGGGCGCTACACACGATACCACAGCCGCAGTTGCTGACCACAGGACTGGACAGAGGGGACACCCTGGTGTTGTTGATGAACGCCGTGGTGGGGGAGGTAGCTGGCTGGCCGTTGTTGGTGTTTTTGTTGTTGCTGCTGCTGTTGTTGTGGTGGTGGTTGTTGAAGTGGTGGTTGTTGTGGTGGTGGAGGAGGTTGTTGGATATGGTGTTGTTGGCGTGGTTGTTGCTGCTGTTGTTGTAGTTATTGCTGGAGAATGAGAGAGATGCTGAGGATGAGGATGCTAAGGTTTGAGAGAAATGTAAGACATCCGAGGGATGGACTGAACTCCCGGTCGGCGAACTAGATCCACTTTTGGAGAGACGATTGTGAACGTGTTGGTGACACCGAGTATGTGGCTGACAGATATTGAAATGGTTTGGGTTGCCAGGCAACGCAGACGCCGGTGTAGAAAACGGCAACGGACAAAAATCCAATTTTGACTTTTTGGAGCTCATGTGAGCCTCCTCTACCAAGACGCCCACACAGAGGTGAGAAGGTCTGTTCGGGCAACACGGTGAGGATGCTTGTGATGACGAGGATGAAGCTGGGGCTGAGGAGATGACCCTTCCGCTGAGGTTGGAAGAGCTGTAAGAAAAGCCCGCGTTGTGGTGGCACTGGGTGGCGATGTTCAGGTTGAGCTTCAGGTGTCGCCGGGCGTTCCAGGTAGCGCTGGCGGCCAGTTTGCCTGCTGCTGGGTGGAGGGGTGTGGCCGGGTGGAGGGGCGTGGCCGGGTGCAGGGGCGCCAGCACCGAGACGTCCCCAGCTTCTGGCATCGGGAGCAGCTGGGGGTGGGCAGCCAGCTTGTTCTCAACCGAGGCGTGAGCCTGGTTGTTGTTGAAGTTGCTGTTGTGGCTGTTGTTGTCGTCGGTGGTGGCGGTGGTGGTGGTGGCGGTGGTGGTGGTGGTGGTGGTGTAGCTGTCGACACAGCACACACTCAAACTATTGATGATGTCTTCGGACGTTGAGAAGTTGTCGTTATTATTAGTGTTATTGGTATAGTTATTATCGCGGCTCTGGTTATTGTAGTGGCTGTTGTCGTTGGCGTTACAGTTGGTGTTGCTATTGACAATATCGTCGATAGCTGTTCTAATGGCTTCTAAGGAAGAGACTGACAACCCTGTGGCAATGGTAGTAGACCCAACAGTTGTTGTAGTCGTTGCTGCAGTTGCGGCGGCGTTCACGTGACCACTCTCAGCTGTTTGATCTTCTGGCTCGGAGCCGACTTGCTCTGGGACACGCTGCGCGGAACTCACTCTCACACACGTCGGCAGGTCAGCGCACTTGACCATAACCATCAGGCCCTGTTCTCTCTTGCCCTGGCCAGCGTGCCTTCGACTTGGACTGGGGTATGAGTCACGAACTCATGGATGATGAAAAGGGATGAGGAAAATTCTCTCGGTGGGCGTGAAAAGACCAATGCCATAGCGAGTCAGATGACCGTCATCATTACAACGGTCAGTATCTCAGTACTTGTGGTAGGCTATATCCACGGAGTATTGTATTCTAGATCAAGCTCTAGGTAGGTTTATTCGAAGACTGAATAAAATCCAACAGTCACAATACCTTACCGCGATGACGGAAGCCTTGACTGGTGAGATAAATCGCTGTGAAGTGTATCTCCGAGAGGAATGACTCAGTCTCAGTAACTGCGATTTCACACACACCGTTTGACTGTTCGTGAATCACTTATATAAATTTACAAACCTGAGTCAGAAAAGAAAATATTTGGCACATGTAACTTCACAAAAACAAAGTTCATAAATACAGGATACTATCCTCGTATGTATAGTAAGTGAATATATAGAAATGTAACACACACACACAAGTAGGTCCATACAAATGTGTCACACTTCACGTCGAACAATTACAATAGTAGCCGTCAGCTGCTGCTCGCTTCGAGATCCACACACACACGAGCACTACACATCTTCTCCGTTTGGCAGCCGACAGCGCAACTAGTCTCGACGTCCCTCACGCAGGATCTATAACTTTCCTAGGCTACTCCCCGTGAAACGCCACGATAATTTTGAGGATGACTAACCCTCCCGCGACCTAAAAACACCTGTTCGCTTTTTTTGTGTGCGTGTCTGTGTGTTTGCCGCGCGTCGATGTGTACACGGATTGTAGGCCTCGCCGTGACTCCCCTTTCCGCGAGAGGCGAAATATTTCCAACGAATCAAAAATTAGGACTGGCAGACGGCCGTGAGAGACGCAGCCAATCCTGTGGCGGGGTGGTGTGTGAATGAACTAGATCTGGGCTATCGCGTCACTCGCGCACCGTGGCTGGTTGGGACTTCCGACAAGAGAGAGAGCGAGAGAGGGGCTCTCGATCAATGAAGGGCGAATGACTCATCGTGGAGTTGTGTGCTTCACCTTGTGCAGGGTTTCCCCGACCGTGCGCCATCTTGCGAGGAAACCCCTATCAGCTGTTTCTTTCTCCGTGTCATGTGACACGTCAGCGAGGTTTGTTTGAGCGGTTGCTAGGTATGGCAAGGGAGATCACCGTGAGAAAATGCTATCTCCTTAATCCTTCAGAGCGAAGCCGTAAGGCAAACATTTAACTAGTATATTAAAGTGTGGTCATACTAAGGAGGGACACAGCCAACCTTGTCCAATGAGGCGATGTGGGAGGAAAAAGAAAGGAAGGATGGTTGGGGGGGAGTGGGGTGGGGGGAGATTAAACACACAATTAAATAGACGGTGTTGAAATCAGAGGTCAGTGGGTCAATCTCGGTAATCGACATGAGTCACCATCTACAATGCGAAACAAGTGACAGATACTTTATCTGGCAGCCTCGTTGATGCTGGGATTAAGACCGGATTAAGACCACGGCAAATAGGAATAATCTATTATTATTTTGTAATCAAAATAAAGATACTTCAAAGACAGATCTCCCCCTGCCCCCTGCTATGGCACACGGCTTGAAGACCAGATTTTATCATTATCGCCTGGAAAAAAGTTTGTTTCTCTACGTCATGCGGTAACTAAAAGCATTAAATTCAGAAATACTTCTTACTTTTTGGTTGATAAAAGGAGGCAGTTGTAATTGTAGTATGATTATAGGCCCTATATCGCTCGTGTGTGTTTAGACGCTATAAGAATGCGTGAGTGGGTGTTTGTGTGTGTATGTGTGTGAGTGTGTGTCTGTGTTTGTGTTTGGGTGTATGTGTGTGTCTGTGTTTGTGTATGTGAGTGTGTGTGTATGTGTGTGTGTTGATGTGTTTGAGTGTCTATTTGTGTG